GGGTGTGAACTGCCAACCTTCTGGTTAGCAGTCAAATGCCTTAGGCACTGTGCTACCAGAGCTCCTCAGGGCAGTTCTTAAAGGTCCTAAAAGGTCAGAACAGATTAACAGCAGTGGGTGGGATTCTTTGTTAGTGTTGTTTAGTGAAGGGACCTTAGGAAAAATAAGCTGCATTTGCACCTAGCAGCAAGAGCAGGCAATGGTGGTGGTGAGAACATGTGTATGACTAAAAGGCAGTAACTCAGAGCTACTGGGTGATCTTAGGAGTGCAGTTCTCATGATCCTAAATAGCTGGAAGTTGTTCTTTTGGAATCTGAACTGAGTTGTCAAGTAATTATTAAGGAAGGATTTGGATAGATGATCAGTCAGATCCCTTCTTAGCTTGGGAAAAACTTTTTGGTGAGAATATATCTGATGTTAGAATCAAAGGGCAGGACGAAAAGGGAATAATTACAAATGAAGAAAATATTCTGGAGGAGAGGAGTACAAAGACTTTTCAGTACATAGTCATTTCACAAAGTGAGGAACACCTGTGTAGTATAACGCACTGAAAGCCAGGTAGAGAGAAAGTAAAGTCATCTAAAATTACCTTACCCAATGCTGTTGAGTCAATTCCGACTCATAGTAGGACAGTGTAGAACTGCTCACAGGGTTTCCAAGGCTGTAATCTTTATGGAAGCAAACTAACACATCTTGCCCCTGTGGAGTGGCTGGCTGGTTCCAATTGCCAACTTTTCAGTTAACAACCATGCACTGTGCCACCAGGGCTCCTAAAATTATCTTAGGGCCACCTTTTCACTGAAAAGATTATCTACACATTTTAAAACAAACAAACAAACAAACAAACAAATAAGTGACACATTTCCCCTCATTATAAAATGTATACTATTATTTCATATTAAAGAAAATGGAAAATATATAGGGAAAAATGTTATTTGATTCCATTTTCCAAAGATTGCCATTCTCAACCTTTACTGCCTATAAATGTACCTATATATTTATAAAACCAAAGTTTTTATACCATGTAGATGCATGGTGTATGGCAGAAACTATATTCTGCATGTTCCTATCACCACATATTCATGACTTCTCATGGCTACATACTATACCATATATGTATTGTAAGTTAAATGTCATTCTCCTCTTTTTAGGAATTTAGTGTATAAAACATTTTGCTGCTATAAATACTGTAATGATAATCATCATATGAGAACTGTGTTCATTTTGTGTGCTCATTTAAAAAAAAATATTTTCTTAGGTTTAATTCCTAGTGATAGGTTCATTGACCCTAAGTGTTTTAACACTTTATTCTTGATGCACTTTAGACTCTTGAAAAACTGCACCTCCTCATTGTTTTTTACACTGCTTCCTTATAAACATCAGCCGATATTTGCCAATTTGATAAGAGGCTCTTCAATTTGCTTTTCCCTGACCAATGATCTTATTTTATAAGCTCAAGCCATTTTATTCTTTCCTCTTCAAGTTCTGTTTGTGTTCTTTGTTTATATTTTCCACTTGGTGAGTTTTATAAGAAACTTTATCAAAATAGTTAAGATTGCAAACAAAATGTTGGAAGGAAAGTCAAAGGCAATTGAATTAGAATTTAAAGGAGGTAGAAGGTTCTGTGATGACTAAAAGTCATTGAGGGAAAATTATAGAAAATTACTTACACCAATGCACTTGACCACTTTAGCCATGATGTTACCTTGTGGCTGGAACTTCTTGTACATTCCACTGCCGAGGACAAACACGACTAGATAGGGCAAAAGAAGATGTGTTACGTGGTGCTTGACTGACCTATGTTGTAACTTTTTCTGTTGATATTTGTGCTTTTATCGGAGTCATCACCTTTTTGTGGAAGTACAGGCATACTTTGTTTTATTGTGCTTTACTTTACTGTGCTTCATAGAACCTGTGCTTTTTACAAATTGAAATTTTGTGGCAAGCCTGCGTCAAGCGAGTGTTTTGGTGCCATTTTTTCTAACAGCA